TTTGAATATATATAATTACATTTATATATATAGTTTTGTATTAATACTGGTGAAAGTAATATATAAATAATATAAGTTGCAATTATAGTCATGAGATGGTTCAGTGGCATAGTGGGTTGGAGCGTGTGGTTAAGGTTTGGAACCACCTGGAGGTTCTAGGTTCAAAGTGTAGGAGGTCTGAGGCACAAAGGGAAATTTTTTTTTTTTTCAAAAATGCTTTTGGCGACTAAACACTGTGGTCGCCAAAAGATTGAGCATTGCCGACGAAAAAAATAGTCGCCAAATGTATAAATAATAAAAAAATTAATTCACTATTGGCGACTAATAGTTTAGTCGCCAAAGGTATAATTTCCAAAAATGGAATTGACTATTGGCGACTAAAACCTTAGTCGCTGAAGACCTGTGTATTGCCGACTAAATGTTTTTAGTCGCCAAAGGTATTGCCAACTGTCTGTTCGCGACAAACCCGGCGACTAAAAGATTTTGTCGGGAAAAGTGGAAATTTGACATTTGGCGACTAAAAAGGGACTTTTGGCGACTAAAAATTTAGTCGCCAAAGGTGTATTTTGGAAGAGTACTAGAAGGCAATGAAGAAAATTGTTCGCTCACAATGATTAGTATTTTGAACTCTTCTTCTGTATAACTTTAGGATGAGTCCAAATCTATATGGCAATGAAAAAAAAAATTTGGTTCAAAATTAGTTCCTCCATTGATCAAGAATTTTGATTTTTGGCACATGTCATGATGATTCAATAAGAAGACTTCTCATTTTTTCAAATGAACGATTTGAAAACCTATGAATCTACAATTGATTGCAAAGTTAATCATTCAGACTTTTCAATTTATACATGTAGATCTCAAACCTATAAATGGAGACATTCTCAAAATTCAAAGGAAAAAGGAAGTGATTTAGACGAAAACTATATATAGGGCAAATTACAAACACCCCTCTCGAGGTTTAGTAAAAATACAGGTTCTCCCTGAGGTTTGAGAAATTACATCCTGTCACTTGAGGTTTATATTTTCATAACAAATTGCCCCCTAAGGTTTTTATTTTCATACAAATTCCCTCCTAATTTGTTATGCAAATTTGACCTTCAAAGGACAATTTGTAATTTCTCAAACCTCAGGGGAGAATCTGTATTTTTACCAAATCTCGAGAGAAGTGTTTGTAATTTGCCCATATATTATATATATTTACTTGGACAAAAAAAGAAGAGACTTGTTTGAGGTATCCTAAATAAGTGCACTTTTTGTCTTTTTGAACTAAAAAATTAAGAAAAAAATATAGATGTTTGGGTTAACTTTTTGACTTTTTATGAAAAAATATGTATTAAAAAATTGTAAAAATTAGTGTGTAAGAAAAAATTTAAGATTAGGAATTGTGCAGCCGTAATTTTTAACTTTTAGTGAATAATGATAACTTTTTAACTTTTTAACTTTTTGACAACTTACAAAACTTGACATTGACAACAAGTCAGTTTTGAGGCGCAGCAAGAAAAAGCAGACAATAAGGGACAGCAGTGGCCGCACTTTCCATTTTATCTCATTCTTGCTTGGCTAACTACATTTGGAGGACTAATCTCATTTATAATCTTTTATTGGCCAGTAACACTACTAAAAACTCTATCTACCGTCCCAATTTAAACCATATTCAAATGGAGAAAAGAAAATAAAAAGTTAGGCATGTGAAAATAAAAATACTGTTTTTTTTGATATAAATGTGATAGTTTTGTCTTTGTAATTTAATCAGAATGTTTCGAACATCTCGAAATATGTTTAATGATGTAGGCAAATACAATCACCTTATTTGATTTTAACTGTTTTTTTGAAAATTAATTTTTTTTATTTTTATTTTTATTTTTATATTTTTTTTAAGGTTTAGAGTTTAGGTAAATTTTAAAAAGTAAATTTTAAGTAGAATAAAATTTTAAGTAAATTTTTTACTTTTTAAATACACATAACTTAGATCCATTTAAAAAGTAAAATAATTTGAAACAAATATTTTAAAAAATCAATAAATACAAACATATACTAAATTTTTATATTTTTGGGCAAATTATCTACAACCCCTTGAAATTTAGTTAAATTACAAATTTTTTCTTGAGGTTTCAAAAATTACATCACACCACCCTCCCCCAGAAGTTCATGTTCGCATAACAATTTAACCCCCTGTTGTAAACTAAGCAGTAAACATGCTGACAACACCAAAATATATATTGACAGACAATATTGTCCATGTGTCTTTCTAAAGCACCAAACAACCCCTTTAATAAGTCAACAAAATTTACGAAAAAATTATGTTAGATGAAAAAAACAAAAAAAAAATTAAGTTTAATGTTATAATACTCATTTCTTTTAGTATACGATACACCCAAAAGAATCTGTTTCATTTTATCATATTTTTCACACTAACTCATATAATATAAGTCATGTTTGGTATAATTTATTGTAAACTAGCAGGTGGCACACATGATACATGTACAATTCAAATAACTAATAATAAAAATAAAGAATAAAGAATTTAATATCATAATATGTATATTATTTACGTGACAAATATATTCTTAATGATACCCAAAGTCTTGGATTCAAAACTTACTTACGCTGTATAGAATAATTTTTTTTATTTTAATATATATAAAGTTACCACATAACATGAAAGAGAAGACTTCACTAATCCAATTCACTTAATAATAGTACAGATTAAAAATTAATAATTAAAAAGTAGAAACTAAACCATCATTTCTCTAGCTTTCAAATAATTATTTTTTTTAATTTATTTAAATTATTTTTACCTAGTAAATTATAAACAAATATTATACTAAACAGTCTGACACATACTCTTAAATTAAAATAAACTGTTTTGTAGCAAACAAGGCCCTACATTGTTGGATTAGTGATAAAACATAATATCCACTATCAACCATTAATTTGCAAACTATGCCACATAATGAGAATAAATATTATTATAATATACATATATCTATACACGAACTTAGGATTTTAATTTAAAACCAGTAAAACTATATACTAGCAAAAATTTTGAGATACATACACTATAAACCCTTACAATTTGAACCTTATAACAAAATAAATCTTAAATTTATAATTTTATTAATTTAAATGCTAATTTATTGATTTGTTTTAAATCTAAAACCTTGCAACAAGTAAAAATTCCTATCCTAACTAATTCATAGATCAGTGCATATAGTAGTAATCTGCAAGAAAAACCGTTGTTAGAAGCCTGCATGACAGACGAAGCGCATACCCTGTATAATCGGAATACTAATAGCAAAATCACACCAAAAAAACCAATAATTCATCAAAAACATTAAATTAGACACATTTGGAATAAAGCAACAAAATTCACTAGTTTAATAAAACAACCAAAAATATGACAAGTAGAGAGCTGCAGTATTTTTTAAAATTGCCAAGCTTTTTTCTATCAAAGGAAAAACCAAAAGCTAGAGTCACTCTGCATAACAAAAAGTTTAAGCATACATTACTCTGAATTGTGGAGGAAAGAAGGAATCTGAACCCCTTAGTCAAAAAGACTGAAGCCCATATCCTGCAGCAAGTTGGAATAAAAGAGAAATCAATACCATTATGTCTGAAAGTTGTTCATATGCAAAGAGCATGCATGAATGCACAACAATTTAAAAATAGAATAATGCTAGATTGGTCATATTTGAATAGCATATTTGGGACCCATCTGCTGTGGCACCTCATATGACACTAACTATAACATTCACCTTTTATCTAAAATGAATGGGTAATATAGTTTGAATCCATCAGTGTTATGGTTAGTTTGAATCCATCAATGTTAAAAAAGTTAACCAGTAAACAGGTTGAAGCTCAGATAACCATGTAAGATGCAAGGAGAACTGAAATAACATAAGTAGCTGGGTGAAATGAGATGTCACAAATATCAGAATTCCCGCAACAATGTGATTAAGTGGATAAAAACTTACATCATCTGACTCCTCTTTCTCTTCCACCTTTTCCTCTTTCTTGGGCTCAGCTGCTGCTGGAGCAGCAGCAGCACCACCACCACCACCACCATATGAGGTCACTCCAATAGCACCACCGCCACCAGAAGGAACTGATGCCAACTTCTCCCGTCCA